AGCATGAGCAGAAGCGTGGTGAACCCGGGGGAGATCCCTGTGTGACTCCACACAGACAACTGGGAGGTTCAGAGTTGGTCCTGGCGCCCCAGCTTCCCTGGACTTCAGGGAGGCCGGATCCGACCGAGGCGTATCAATTACCTCACTTTCCTCACAGCAGCCTTTGTCCCTGCCGTTTGAAAGAGATCCTGTAAGAGGTGTGAGTCACTGGACATACTCATCAGCTGAATGACTTTGAACGACTTGGGCAACATCTCAAATCAGCAAGCAGGGTATGCAGTGCTGCTTCTTTTCCTCAACGTGCTAAAATCTCTCCCAAGGATAAAAGATCAAAAAGTAAATTACAAGCACAAAATGACAAAGACCTCTTAGAGAGAGCAGCTTATAAGGTGGACTGAGCAGAACTGATTAACATCTCCCACATCTAACTGTGGATCTATAACGCTAAAAAAAAAAATATCTATCTATATCTATATTTATATATCTTTATCTCCCCTAGAATAAGCAAGACCATACAGTGAAAAAGAGTGAAAACTATTCCTGTGGAAAACAAGTACTTTAGGTAAGTATAAGCATCAGGATGAAGAAAGCATTTTGAGCGAAGTCCTGCTCTCACTGAAGATAATGGCTTTATAAAGCCAGTTTTTCATCACATGCTTTATTTTTATATTCCAAAGCTGCAAATTTAAAGAACACAGTAATGCCACAGATACAACCAGTCAATAGAAATTGCCTGAAAATTGGCTGCCAAGCCTACACTGTGAGAGTGTTCCTATAGCTTATACTACTCGTTTGTCTATGCCAGTAAAAAAATAGTACAAAATGTGGACAGAATTCTGCCACAGCACCATAGGAGTATTTATTATTGCACAATGTTCAAAGTAGGTAGTGTAGTATCCAGCCCTGCCAATGCCTGCTATTTTGTTCTGGAGGCATTAACTTATAGAGGTTTTGGTTCAGAAAATCAAGTAAAAGCTTATGAAGAGTAATGTTTCATTTGTCCTTGTTCATGTAATGTTTAACTAAACCTGAGCCTCTCAAATCGTGTGGATTTTTAAATAGGTAAGACACTGTAATTCAAAAAATTAAGCATATACGTGCATATACATAAACCCATCATCTCTGGTGATGAAGTGAGAGGCAATGACACATATAATAGCTTTTATTTTGACTTTTTTCTGAGGTCCAAGTTTAGTGTGAAAGAGCTCCATTCTTCTCATGGAAGTTCTGTAGAACTTAATCCTGTCAGTGAGAACAAAGACAATCACAGGAATTACACCAGATTTTGAAGTTATGGGATTCACTGTTGCTTGAGTCCCATGAGACTATCACACTGTCCTATGGAAACATAAGATCCCATATTTATTCAAACTAAGGGTGGTAAGGCACTCGCTTATGAACCTTTTTCTTGCTACTGGCCCTATTATGAATTATTGCTTGATTATCAACATTTTTGAGCATGGTCTTATCAAAGTCAGCACTAGTTTTGCTATTGCATTTCCATATTTGTGTATAGGTAAGTATACATACATATATACTGGCACATCTACAATCTTCATTTTCATATACCAGCAACTCCGCTTACTTAAGACAGAGTAGCTGAAACCAAATGATAAATTCCAGCTACAGGTAACTTGTGTTAGCTGCCAAGCCACTTAGTTACAAATTTATGTAAATATTCTTCCAACAGTTTTGTGATATTATTAAAAACAGCAGTAACAAATATAAGCAAGCACCTGAGTAAAAATCCTGTAGTTTGTGTTATTATATCCTTAGTCGTTGTGGCAGTATACAAAATATCTGCTCATTCAAAAACAGAAAAAAAAAAATCTGTGAATATTGCGCTATTTAGGAGGGAACCCAAAATGTATCTGCCGTTTATAATGAAACTCATAAGGAAAGCAACTGCTGAAAAATACTACCTTATTTGTAAAGCACACTATTAAGTGAAGGAGCTATAGTTTGACCTCTTTAATTACATTTTTCTCTTAACTCAGAGAATACAGTGCTGTAGGGCAGGCAGTAACAACATAACTTGAAAATTGGATAAAAAGTTGTCATATAAAAGCCTCCAAGTATATTTTTAACGAGAGGCTGTTGATACTTCAGTAAAGCACATGCTGGAAGGACTCTGGGCTGCCCCTTCTAAGCAGCTATTACATGTGTGCATTACTGACAGCAAGTGACTCTGGAAAAAGATTTTATTTTCCAATTCTAAGAATTATTTACCATGAACTAAACCAGAGAATTACCATTTCAAAACTGCACTAACACTGGGTTTTTAAAAGGAAAAAATTTTGTGAGTGTATTTCCTACTCTTAGAAAACAGGAATAAATCATCTCTGGTGTCTCTTTTGGATGTTTCTCCACCTTTTAGGACTGAGAGAGAGAGGACAGAAGAATGACATGAAACTGCCTGTCCAACTCCTGCTTCAGCTTTGCCCACCTGCTTCCCTTCTGGGCATGGAAAGACGCAAAGGAGGCAACGTAGTCCTGCATGGCTCGTGTGATACATCCCTTTTTTTTCTAGGATTTCCCCCACCTCCAGGTGTGAACTAATTAAAGACAATTTCAAGGGGCAGATCTAGCCACTAATGTTTAGCAGCCCCTTTTCTATTCTGTAAGATACATTTTCAAAATTAGGTTTAGGATCTTTAAAGCAAATAAATAAACCGATGCAATTTCAACATATCAATAGGAAGACTAATAGGAGTAAATGCTTTAACACAGAGAAGTGAGTATTGAAAAGTCAACATCGTCAAAAATAACGACAAATGAAATGTGATCTTTTTCATGTAGTAATGGTCCTTGTCTGTAAAATGAGAGTTGTACACGTATTGTGAGGAACAACTTTGGGCAAACAACTTCGTGGAATTGAGTGGGATCATGCTTTTCTTTTAGCCATAAAGAATTTTCTTACTACTAAGGTAAGCACAGTACTGAGATGTCTACAGAGGTAGCCAGATTTTCATTTTCATTAGCAATAAAAGATGTACTAAGGAGACCGACCAAAGAACAGCGTGGTGGATGCTGCCACTTGAATTAAGGGTTTAGCTTAAATGACCTGAGATATCTTTCCCACCTTTATCATCACTGCTTCATTAATACAGAGACATATGCAATGAGCTATAATAAACATTTTGAATGACTGCCAAATCAAGTTTTTTAAAATTATGGTAAGTATTATATACCGTAATTATGTTTCCTATTATATTTCCCATATGCTACCAAGCAGGCATTAAAAATATGTATTAGAACTAAGTTCTAATGGGCAAGAGGGAAAGAGAGCAAGCACATCATGGAATGTGTCCTAACAATAAGGTTAGGGACTGTGGGAAGGCCTCATCTCATGTAAAAGCTGCAGATGAGTGAGATCTGTAATTCTCAGAATTTTTGTATTGTATCTTACCATGTCCTACTTTTTGCCACTTGTTTATAAAAATCCTATTTTGGACATTCCTTTTTTTCAAAGACTATCAATTCAATAAATTAAAAAGTATCAATTTGATAAATTCTATGTTAAAGCACTAAAGGGCTCTAACTGAAGTTGTGATCATCAAAGTGATATTAACTACTTTACAGAAATCTCTAAAAAAAAAAAGATACATAATGAATATAACAGTTACTTCAGGGTACAAGGAGTTGACACCTACTAAATGCAAGCAGGAATTAATTAAGACTCTTTGTTATGGAGTTGTTATCGCTTAAGTTCCTGTAGGTCCCCAGATATTGCATGCAGATATGCTTATCAAACAACTTCTTTTGGGAGACAGGAAAAAGAGCATTCAAGACAAAAAAAAATGACCAATTTAAAGGCAATTTTACCATTGATCTATTTGAAGCAGCCCCAAAGTTTAGAGAATTAGAAGTTGTATGAGTAGAAATTTCAGAAAGACTAATAATAGGCACAGATTGAATGAAATTTGTCACATAGGTGCCATTACTGTCTACAATTCCCTAACTCTGTTATATCTCACACAGGTATATCGTACTGTCTATTAGCTAGAAAAACTGACGCTGGGGAGAATGTTCAAAGGTAAGTCCACAGCTAAGTAAATTGCTGAGTTTTATTCTAAGTCCTCAATATAATATGAATTCCTAAGATAATTTGGACCTGTTAGGTCTCTCACAGCAAATTTTTATCACCCCATGACAGGATAAATGAAAAGATTTAATAAACAATAAACTTCAGTTCTGTGAAAGAGGTCCAGGTAGCCTGTAGGGGTATCATGCAAAACAGCTGCTACTGATTCGATTTTGCTGGTGACCACTGTACTCATGTAACTAACTGTACCAAATGATAGCTGAAATCATATATTTGTATTTTAAAATACAATTATTTGTGCACTGTACTTTGTGTAAAGATATTATCCACATCTATTAGCCAAAGAAGAGGCTGATACTCCGAGACACACTCTATTAAAATGTGTAATAAATTTAAATAAAAATGTTGAACTTTTCACATTGCAGACCCTTTTAAGCTCAAATTGTTTGCTATTATAGAGAACTCTTGATTGCACTAGATCTCTAGTAGCAACAACCGTTAATATAATATCTAAGATACTTGCCATTTCTCAGGTTCTTTCTCTGCTTTGGACACATCAACAATCTGTTGAAGTAAAAAAATTACCGATTCAAAGTGACAATTTTTGAGTAGAGTTACTGAATATATACTTAATCTACTTGCATTATCATCCTATCACACTGCCATTACAACCATGATCAAGAAGGTTACATTCCAGAAATACAACTATTTTGCTGGCAAGAAAGTTACATTACTTTGTTTGTGATAACACGATAACGTGATAATGCGAACTACAGTAAATCTATCCTTGAGTGACAAGATGATTTGGGGGGAGATTTATATTCTCCTTGCAAAACTCTTCAAGGAAATTTCATGTCTGTGGGGACAAACAGGTTTGCTTTATGTAAAATCTTAGGAAAATACATTTATAATAAATAAGAAACCAGATTTCAATAATACTAAACAGACATTAAAGGTCTTTTGCCTTTTTTAAGAAGATTTTTTATGTATGATTGAAGTTTATACAACACTCCAGAAAAGCCATCATGTGTTAGATTGAAAAATAAAATCAGAAGCATTTTCTGTCATATAGGTATACATGAAAAAACAGAAATGTTAATGTCTTAGAAAGTATGTCCAGCTTTGTACCGTTACTCATTTAACAAAGCAGAAAGTAAGATACTGTAAACAAAAAGCTACAGTAAAGGACATTTTGAAATTTACACAAGTTTGAGTTCATAAACATTTTGGTTGCTCCATAACAGTTTTCATATAAAATGAATAAAAAACCCTTGGACAGCTTTCATCACTCTTGACTACTTTTCACTTAAATGCACACAGACATACTTTATATAGCAATATACTGATGTACTGTAACATGGATATTAAACTATGATTACTGCTTTTTAACTCAGATGTGTATTATCCAATCAATATTATCTGTAATTGAAATACTCATACATTATGTATTCCCATCATGTTGTTAAGTATAAAAACATGAAAATATAACTTTACATTATTTCAGTTATATACATCAGTTCAGGCTTGACAAAGATTTTTTTACGCTACGATTTTTAGAGGAATAAGCCCAGAGGTACAATAAATAGCTTTCCACTGTATACAGTAATGCAATTCTACTTTTTCAAAAAGTTTAGATTACCATATGAATATTATTTTAGTTTGGTCATTCTAGCATTGAACATTAAAAACTGGAATGCATTCCCCAACATTCCTGATGAGGAGTAATGCACAGAACACCTATGGATTACAGATGTGTCAAGAAACGGTTCAGTTTTGTTAGGGGGAAGTTACTGGTTAAGTTTGACATTGAAAACACTGTATGTACCTCAGTTGCTGACTGCACTGAGAGCATACACTGTGTTCACGTGCTTTGCAGAAACAGGCTCCCCATAAGAAGGGACTTCAAGTTTCTGATAAAGGCTCTGTCTTCTCCGATGTTCAGTAAACACTTTACTTAAGCCTAAAGAAATGGATTTCAACTAAAACTGCAAGTCGTATTTCAAATTTTACTCAAGAAAAAAATAAAATAGAGATCTACTGATACTGCATGAGGCAATGCATCCACGATGCAGAAAAATGTAAGCTTTTCAACTAAATGTACAGAGTTTTATCTACAGGGAAAGCCGGAGAAACATGATGTTGCTTTGATTTGCATTAGCATTTAAATTAACGTTATTGCACCCCTCCTAGGATTCCTTTTTGCTTTGTAAGTAGAGTTATCATTTTTAAATACACATAATTAAAATGTATGGTAACTTGAGATTGCAAAGACTATTCATAATGATTAAGACTCAGGAAAGTTTTAAAAATTTCATCAGTACAGACTTGCATCTAATTCGAGTTATTATCGAACTTAATTTAAAAAGACATTGCCAAGGTTTTGGGGTTTTTTTTCCACAACAAAGAACTTTACTAGCTACTGCTTAGAATTACCTTTTAACAGTTTGAAAACTGCTTCCTTAAAGGAACAATTTGAGATCTGTATTTGCTTCATACTTTAAAAAAATATTTAACGCTATTTTACTGCTTGCCATTTATCAGTTTTTACCAATAGTCTTCTCTCTCTGTACATGTATTTATGAACGCAATTGTACAAAAGTAGAGATAGATATGAACCAAATCTTTGGATCATAAGTCCCTGTATGTCAGAGTTAAGAGGAGCTCTAAATCAGCACCTATCTGACTCCTCATGTGCTGGTATGAAGTACCACTCTAACCCAGAACAACCTTGATCTTCAGAGTTCAAAACGCATATCTGGGCATCACAGCTTGGGCTCGTCTGTAGGAAAAAAAAAAAGTTGAACAGATTCAAGTGAGCTGGGGGTGGCGACACTGCCAGAAACTAAAACACTGACCCAACCTTGACAGTGTCCTTTTAGATTTCAGACTCTTTATAATCCAACAGTAGCTAGTAAAATTAATGGAACACTTGCAAATAAAACCATAGAAAAAAGTTTATTTCAAATGTCAAGCATCGCCAAGTAATTTTATATTAACACCAAATGTTAAAGAATAGGATATACAGCAAAGTTTTAATAACAATATTAAATTACAAGATTTGAACCTTTTACTTATTATTTCTTCTCTTCTCAACATAACATATTTGGCTTTGAAAAATATGGAACTGATGCTTTAAGCCTTATTTTCATATTCCACTTCCCCGCAGTCTAGATTTCTTTTTTTCTTTTTTTTCTTTTTTTTTTTTTTTTTTTTTTTTCTTTTGCTTATAACAACCATTATGGAAGCAAATTTATTTAAAAGCCAGTTTTTGTTTGTGAAAATACCTAAAAATATTTTTTTCATTTTAAATGTTTTTTTTTTTCTTATAAAACATGTCACATCTTGATGCAATTGATGTCAAGTGTGCTTAAGTCAATATGAACCAAGGGACTAACAACGGTGGCTGCAGAAACTGGTGTGTTGCCTGTACAACGACTTCAGTTAGATTACAGTAC